GGTAATTGAATAGGTAGATAGGATTATTTTTATTAAGCAATTTGAGATGCAGGCACCGCTAAGCTTCCTGATGAGAATTTTCTCTTCATTCCACGGGCTGTGTTTTAACAAAAATCTCGAGGAGGACTGGCACCAGATTTGGAGGACAACGTAGGGACCGGAAGGCATTCATCATTCTGCTTTTGTCGAATGGACGACGGTAAGTTTTTTTTCATTTTATTTCTTTATTATTTTCAGATATTATTTTGTCATTATTTCCATTTTATGATTTTTTGCTTCTAAGATTCTAGCATTCATTTACTACTACGCTAATAAAAAAATTTGTCTACAGAATGATGAGAGGTGGGCAGTGGTGGGAGTCAGCACGTTTCAGATGGTGGTCCCATGATGATTTACGTATGATGATGTGGTGTAGGAAGAATCAGCGCGTTGGCTGTTCGACTGACAGTCAGAAGTTCGGATGAAATCTTGTGCCGATCTGAATGTGGTGGTCGGTGCAATGGATTAAAGTAACGACGATTTTTGAAGTAAGGTTTAGTTTCGTTTTTTTTTCTTTTTCTCATTCTTTCATTTTTCAATCAATCTTTCAAAATATTCTTCCATTAATTGACTTTAATTCTATTCATTCATTAATTTTATTAACTAATTATTTAGTTAATCACTTGTTCGTTCGTTCCTTTGTTCCTTGATTTACTAGTAAGCTAATAAAAATAACTTTTCTACAGAATGATGAGAGGTGGGTTGTGGTGGGCGTCAGCACGTTCCGATGACAATTCGAAGAAAACAACGACGATTTTTGAAGTATGGTTTAGATTCTTTTTTTATTTTTCTCATCCATTCATTCATGCATTTTATCACTATCTTTAAAATTATTCCTCCATTAATTGATTCATTGATTCATTCCATTCATTAAATCATTGATTGATTAATTAATTAGTTAATTCATTCAACCAATCATTCAGTTAATCATTTATTCGTTCGTTCCTTTGTTCCTTGATTTACCAACACGCTATTTAAAATAACTTGTTTACAGAATGATGAGAGGTGGGCTGTGGTGGGCGTCAGCACGTTTCAGATGGTGGTCTCATGACAATCCGATGACAATTTGAAGATAATATTAAAGGGAAATTTGTTTTTGTCGCATCGTACCATTGAAAGTACTTGAATTTGAACGAAGGATTGAGTATCATCTCAATAAGATAAGTTGCCTATTTTTTTCCAATGTCTTGTTTTTTATTTTAAAAATTAATTTTTTTTTAATTTAGGGTTTTTCAATATCCGGTCAAATTCGTTCCGTCGATGCGTGTCAGATGATGGTCGGTGCAATGGAGGTTCGTCCGTAGTGAGTGAAGAAGTTTCTGGAGAGTACACGCCTGCACATTTACACATACATACACACATCAATGTAGCACACACATACACAACATCCATTCATTCGATGTCGTTGCTGTTATGTTTCTCTTCAGCTTTCTGTTTTCTTTACCGGACTTAATTTAATTCGTAGGTAAGTTAGGGATTGAGATGAGCTGAACGATCGTAGGTAGGCTAGGGCTTAACATTAGTTAAAAAGTTTCAAATAAAATAAAAACGCTGAAATATGTGAAATAAAATACATAAAACATGTAAAATTCCAAAAACGTAGAAATACATATTTGTAGGTAGGTGAGTTGAGTTAATGATTATAAGTAAGCTAGGGCCCTGAGAGTAATTTAATTGTAGGTAGGTGACTGACTACTATTCTTGCGACTTCTTACTAGTTTTTTGTGATATGTTTGTTTGTTTTCGCTTCACAGCCCCACACCAACAAAATAAACTACATTTTATTCTCGTCGTCGCCTTAAATTTTACCTTTTTGAACAATCTTTTTAATAATGTCTATTTATTTATTTATTAATTAAATGTTGACTGGTTTCTAGTTTTTTTTAATTTGGTTATATAATTTTTTGGATATTTCTTGATTTACTTTGTATATATGCATGTAGTTGATTTAGTCATGTTATGCTGTGAACAACTGTTCTTACTAAATGTGATTGTTACGTGAATCATTCTCAGAGAACTATTAATGGATAATAATTATTTTTTATCGGTTGATTTTTTGTTATATTTGTTTAAAATTCGAATTTTTTAAAAAATCGTCGTTTTTACAATTTTAATTAACCGTCACTTTCCATTTTTGAATGAATTCAAATAAAAGCAACTATTGTGTTTTTCTTTCTTTACTAAAATCTCAAAATTGTTTGTAGATCTGTATGGTTAAGTGTTTGTTCGAGTTTGAACAAGCCTTACAAATATTTATTTTTTTTTCGTTTTAATCACAATTCGTTCGTTTTTATGGTTCATTCAATTTGGTTAATTGATTGAATGAATGGTTGGTTGATTGATTGATTGATCTCATAGTATTATACATTTGAAAAAAAATCCGACCCATGGCTTTAGTAGCAATCAAACCAAGATGATGATGATGGCAGACAGACAGACAACCAGACAAACAAACCAACACATATACCAACACACATGCCATACAAACAAACTGATAGCAAGGCACAAACCTAATAGATGATATTCATGAGGTACTTTATGTTAGAAACGTACAATCAATCAATCCTTCGCTCACTTTCGACGGTCGAACAAGGAGACTACTTTCGGATGGGAGTTGGAGGGTTATTTTTTATCGTTCGAGTCAAAAGTTACGATCGTATATTTACTAATTATGGAATATTGCTTTTATTTAAAATGTTAAATTTTTTATTTTTTTTTAAATTGCTGTTCAATGTGGAAATTAATTACTTTTATTTGGTATAAATTTAAAAAATAAAATCGACATTACTGAAAATAATTGAAAGTTGAAAAAATTAAGACTGAATAATAATTATAAATATACTGTTAAAAATAATTCTGAAAATGCGAACAAACTGTTAGAAATTTTAAAAAATGTGTGCTATTTTTTGCTTCTCTGTCTTTTTTTGTTAAATCCTTTCAAATGTTTTCTTTTGTTTGAATAATTGAAAAAAAATTTTGAAACAAATAATCTAAATCACATTTTTGTGAACTTAATTTATTTCATGTGCTGTCTTATTTGAAATATTTTTTTTATTTTAATTAGAAAAAAGTTTTATAAGGCGTTGGTGCTATAGGATCGGCTGTTTCAGAGTAGTTCAAATATATTTCATTGTAGTTAGAACAAGTCGGATTTGTTTTATGTTCAATAAAATAAGAAATAAACTCAAATCAATAAAAAATTTCGCGGTTAAATTTAATTATCGTCATCGTCATTTCTGTTACTCTGACGTCTTCTCTTCTTCCTGTAAACTTTTTTCATGTTGTAATTTATGGTAAAATTACGGTAAATGTGGTAGGGTAAGTAAGTTATTCATGCTTGATATTATCAATTTTATCAGAGTTTTAAATTCGTTTTTTTGTATTTTAGAAGCCTAAACTAAAATACCCTGAAACTTTTGTAGCTCACCCGAAATGAAATTTTATATTTTATAAATATTAAATATTGTAGCAAATGTTATGTATTTATAAATAACTTAATCCAGACTTTTCTAAATAATCAACTAAACATAACCCTCATAAGTAAAATTAAAGGGAATATAGATCGCTCAAAAAATTGTATAACAATTATATAAAAATAAATGAGAAACATTAAATACGAAAAAAGATTCAAAATTTGAAATTTTTACTTGATCTGACTGAGAATAAGGCGCCGAGTACTGAAATGACAAGGAACAAGAAAACAGCAATACCAACCAATGCCGGCCACAAGTTTTCTTGTGTGATGGTGATGATGAAAAGGTGAAAATGATGATGAAAATGATAAAGATGATAATGACATGCAAGGATGATGATGAGGAGGAAATTGATGATGACGAAGAAATGAAGATGATGTTGAAAATGATAAAGACGAAGATGATGACATGCGATGATGACGATTGTGATAACGAAGATGATGGTGGTGAAAAGATGAAGATGATGTTGAAAGCGATAAAGATGATGATGATCATAAATAGTGATAGTGACGATGCTAATTATGATGATGCCCAAATAGAGAAAATTTATGAGTGTGTGTAAGTGTAAATATGTGTTTGCGCGCGTGTAACTGTGCTAAGCTATGTTGATAAAGAGTAATAAATGAGTCTTATGGTTTTCAGTCAAAAATTTTCAACAACTAAACTGCAGAACGGCTGAAAACACAAACAAGTTTTGTCTTAACTCAAAAACAACTTCAGCATCTACAATTTCTATTTACTTTCAGGCTCGTTATCTTTAATGAGAACTCTAGAAACATTCTTTAAAATGAGAGATTCGTTATCGGTGACGGGTTGAATTGGTATCGATAGTTTTACCGATTCGGTAAAAGTTCTGACCGTCTCTGGTTCTTTGCTAGTTAATTGGCTATTTTTAAGAAAATATGAAAAATATTTTTCGGAAGAAAAGAGTGATATCTGTGTATTTTTATTTTATAAAGATCGCAAAGGCAAATTAACAGTTATATGGTAATTTATATTTCTATTTATGATGTGATTGTTGATTGCAATGAATATTACGTTGAAAGTTATGATAATCAGAGAGAAAATATCTGCGGTAGAGATTTTGGTTTTATGCAAAAAAAATGGGCGGAATTTGAAATTTCATAAATAGTATTATATTACCTTCATATTTTTAGAATCCTTATGGGTGACTTTTTCAAAGTTTTTCGAAACAATTTATAAAAAACAGCGAAAACTAACTTAAATACATAGTCGTCATCGTTGTCACCAATGTAGGAATCGTTGCCAAATGCATCACGTCTGTCCTCGTTCATGTTGTACAATACTTCGTAAAAACTTTCATTCCCACTTAAATATCATAAACTATCATATTTTTTAATTAAATTCGTAATGAAATTTGCAATTAACTCCCTAATTAGTTTTATAAATAACTTTTTAATTATAGTTAAAAGTTTTCTTAAATAATTTTAATGAGAAATTGATACATTAATCAAAATTCAAATCAATTTAATCAGACCCATCCATCTCACGGCCTATGTCAAACTCATACTCGTGTCGATCGTTTATGACAGCTGTGGAAATATTTTGTCAAAATTTTTTCTGATTAAATTTTGGTAAAACAATTCATCGATAAAAGCAAAAAAACTTCAAATTATTTTTATTTTTAAAATAAATTCTGCTACTTATGTACAGCATAGTGATTTAGGTTCCATAGCAAACAATGTGTGATATGTTTTCATTCTTGATACATTAATGCACGTACATTTATTCATTTACAAGTTAAAACCTTTTGAGAAATAAAGATAATTGTAGAGAAAATTAAAAAAATCCGGCTCACGTTCAACGATTTTGTTGATGACTTTAATTTCCTCGATGTAGTCGACGGAGATGAGAGCTTTGCCGAGCCCGAATGAGACACGAACGTACAAGTAGAACATGTCCTCTAACACGTTACCGATTGGCTGGTCCGCAACGAATTTCGACTCATCCAACTGGAACTCATTTTTGAGGAGATTGTCGTAATCGATGTGAGTCAGTTTGATCCATTGGCATTTTTTATTGCGGGCGATGACGAAGACGCAGGGATGTTCCCTTTTACCGATGTGGATTCGGTGTTGAAATGGTTTTTGTGTCGGTACTTGTAAAGGATGTTAAATTTTTATTTGATTGAATAAAATTTTGGCAAGCTGTACCAAATATCATAATAACTTAGCATCTCGGATTAAAATTAATTAATTTGAAATGAACAAACGGTTAACAAATATTGATACATAACAATCAAACCATGCAACCTATTACGGAACATTCCCTTGGGAGAATAATTCGTTCACTGTTTAAAAGATTGTTTTGAAGCATGTAGGTAAATGAAAACCACCCAAAACCTTGATTTTCGACCTTAATAAAAAAATTTAATAAATCTTAAACTTATTGAGATAGATTCAAAATTTTTAAAATTCATTACAAATTTGTGCCAGAACGTGAAAATTCTTAGTAGGAGGTGAAATGGATGGAATGTATGCAATCGACAAAATTATCAAACTGTTATCTACATTTTGTTAAGCCAGCATTCAATTTTCAAACTCACCAACTTGTTCATGAATTGAAACTAAATTTTTTAACTTGGATGAAGATAGTACTTACGAACAGAATCAAGTTGTTATGTGGATTTGTCAGTTTGAAATAAAAGTTTTTCATCTTTTTCAACAGGGCTCCTCTGGGCAACCTTCGCACCATCATAAACCCAAAATTTGCCGAATTCAACTTTTCTTTTCAAAGATTAAAAATATCATGGAGTTATTTTACAATAGATGTAATTAATGCAATCAGGCATTTTATAATATATATTAACATTTTCAATGTATTCATTAAATTTGTAGAATTACTATTTACAAACTCGTTGCGACTCGATCCAATCTGTCAAGTACTAGAATCGATTTATCGTATCTACCGGATGTATCGGTACAATGGTAGATGCCGCTTATTGAATTCCTGATATTTGTTGTAACTTTTGTCCATTCTTTTAATTTTTCTACGATTTATTTTTAGTAGTTTGTTTATGGTTTGATTTATGTGGAAAGCACTGGTGAAATAATTTAAGGGAATTTATCGAGTGTATGAAGTAGTAGCATTCTTACTGACATTTGTATATTTTTTTATACAGATACATGATGATATATCAACTTGTTTTTCTTCATCACTTTGTTTCATTCATCAAGACTAATGTATTATAAACATTAATAACATCATTTTATTGTAATATATTATTATTATTATATATTTTTTTCTTTCGTTTTTTTCCATAATTTTATTCACCTTTTTCATTACAAGAGTTCTCGTTAGCAGTGTCTGGTTCATAAAATTGTACCAACACATCTATCAGTCTGTCATCTTGGAATTACATGTTTCAATTGATACCATTGTGATGTTAATAATGTTAATTTGTCTAAATAAATGTAAATTTTCCTATTAAATGCATTATTTTGATTTGATCGAATATGTTGAACGCGTTATCTATAATAACATGTGATGTATATTTCATATAAATTGTTGGACGCTTTTAGAAATTGATATGTATGAATGTTGGTTAAATAATTTTGTGTTAATTTAAGTTTGGTATGAATGAATAATAGTCCGTCTGATACATACTTAATTTTATTCTGAGAGCAAATGTAATGGTTATCAACGGGAAGATGGCATGGTATAACCTAAATAAGAACATTTTCCAATGAAGTTGAAAAATCAGTTAGATACATTTTAAAATGTTTAATGTTATTCTTGACTCTCCATTGTTGAGATTATTATTATTTGTTATTATTATTAATTTTGTCATTGTTATTATTATTATTATTATTTGTTATTGTTTATCAGCATGTTTGCATTCTACGTAGGTACCTAGAGATTGCATTGTGGTTTTCTTATATTACAAATTATATTGCCTGGTTCTGTTACGGAGTAACTTCTGAGTACGACAAAAGGTTCCACACTTATCCCATGAATTGTGTGTGATGCGTCGTTTGGCACATATGAATATGCGCTGTTCGTGTGTTGAACTTTTTAAACATAGAAAAAGTGTTATAGACATTCAACTTTTTTAAACCTTAAATAAAATCTAGATTTTATTTAAGGACTATAGCTCATTTTCTAATCATATAAATTCTGAAAATTATTTTGGTTCTTTGCTCGGTATTCTCAATTTAGTTCCAGATTTCAATTTATCGTCGGCGGTTTATTCAATTAATTTAAAAAAATAATTCAAATTGTTCTGCTGAAATTATTAAAAATTAAACGCATTAAAATCGTTTGTGAAGTTTGTGAATGTGTTTGTATGATCAGATTCACATTCTGACATCATTCTGACTAGACATCACAGTGAAATTCTGACATTCAGCAGCTTCAGCTATTCTATTTCATTCAACAACACAAATTTGTACGGTTTCATTTACAATCTGCTTTTCTAACTTAGAAGTAATAACTAACTAACTAATAAAAAGTTAATTTTAATAGTTTATATATATAGAGAGAGAGAGTTAATAAATAGATTCAAAATCAAATAAACTAACAAGTAAAAGTTTATATCAATTTTTTTATTTTTTACTAATTTAATTTTTTTAATAGTTTTATAAATTCATATTTAATTTTTAATAGAATTAGTAGAGATCATTAATTAAAAAAGAAACAAGAAGAGAATGGCTGTCTCTGACAAGCAAAACTTGTTTTTAAAAGCATTTCTCAGGTTTGTTTTTTAATTTAATAAGAATTTAGAGATACAGATAATGCAAAAAATAATGTGTTAAACTTTCATCTGATCAAACACAAACATACATGTAGGTAGCCATGCTAGCAACATCCTTTCATGTAATTTATATTTAATTGCTTCAGGTGTGTGAATAGCAAGACATCTTCAACGTATCAAGTTAATGACATTTTTTATTTTTTTTATTGATTTTTCATTAATTAAATAAGTTACATATAAATACTCTCGTTTGGTTATATTCATTAACTTGAAGATAATGTTAGATCCATTTCTTTATAGAGCTATGCATTGGATTATGTGGACAAGTCAGCATCACCTTTGCCCATTGAGTTCTGGTATCTCATTAAAGAAAATGAATTTGTTGTGGTGTCCAAGACTTTGAATAAACAAGTAGGATTGGCATATTTCTTATTTATATTATTAATCTGCAAATAATATCTTATGTCAAAAAATTATGATGAAACTTACCTGTAAAGTTTTTTTTAAGTAAAAATAAAATTGCTTTTAAAATTAATTATTTTCAGGCCAAAAATGCATCAGATTACGTTGATCTGATGATTGCAGGATCAGTCGACAACAATGCGGCTGATAATTTTATACTTGAATCTGAACAGACCTTAGGTTGGTTGGCATGCCACGTTTTATTCCAAACAAAACCATTTTTTGTTCTTTATTTGCAAAGTAACTAATTCAGCAATGCGCTGGTGTACTGATTTCAAGGTTCCCCACTAGAATTGTATGATTACCAAAAAGACCTCCACCTGAGACAAGCAAATCTAAACATTGAAGACAATGATGAGGATAAAAATTTGGCGAGTAAAAAAGTTTATCTACCTCTATCGCTGAAAGAAGCCAGCACTATCCTGTCAATGTATAACATCACCATGCAAAATTACATGAAAGACATCCACACCACCATCAACAACAACAATGGTTCTCCTACTAACAACCACAGCTGCAACAATCTTAAAAGATTGCTGGTTCTCTGCGATGGATTGGATAGAAATGGAATAGTTTGCATGTCGTCATTGGTTAGCAACAACGACTTCAAAAACGACAACTACAATACTAACAACAACAACATCAGAGACCAACAACTCGTTCGTGTGGCTGTTGATAGCTTTGTCATCAAGTCAAAATGTTAGTTTTTTTTAGATGAGATTGTTTTTTGTTTTGTTTTTTTTATGGTTATTATTACTATGGTCATTTTTGTAGTTATGGTCAGTTTCACTTACATTGAGTTACATCATTAACGCCATCATTGTTTATGATATTAATGTCATCATTGACAACGTCATCATCACTGGGCCACCATCATTATAATCATTATCGTCAGGTTACTCATTCAACATGCAAGAGGTGCCATCTGTTGAGCAATTACTACTGGGAAGATTGTTAACTGACTGTGTTAGTTTAGTACCATTTTACTTTTTCTAGGTACATATTTAGTACTAATGTACTACGTACACACATATTCAGCACCAATGCACTATATGTTTAAATAGTTCTATAGATATTAAATATTCCTAGTGATGTATGTTAGCAACATAGTACATGCACTTTCATGTTTGTACCAGGTTATGTCAGTATTGTAGTACTAACATCGCACTAAAATGCGTGCTACTAAAGTATGTTATGTGATTTGTTTTGTATATTGTATATGTGAAATTTTATTATAATTCGAACTACAATAATTATTTGGATATTATTGATATTGTTATTATTATTTTTATTATTATTATTATTATTGTTTTTATTATTTATTATTATTTCTTACTGAATTCAGAAAAGGCGGCAGTACACAAGCACTTGCCTGTTATATGGGTCAGACAAGGTTGAAGGTCATTTTAATCAGGTCAGTGTCAAGTTCGAGTGGGACGACGAAGAGGGCTCCAATGCCCTGGAAAGTCCACCTATCCAGGCAACTGCTACCCTGGTCTGTTGCTGTTGTTGTTGGTGGTGGTGACGTCACGGTTGCATTCAGTGTTGATGTCATCGACGATGATTTTCTTCATTCACTCAGATATTTTAATATCATTAATTGGAAGAATTCAGTTCTTGGGAATATGCTAAAAATATTTTTTAACGATTTGCTAGATTGTTAGAATTTTTAGGTCAATAAATTTTCGTTGATGCGAATTCGAATTTATGAATTGATCGGCACTGCAGTTTTTACGTTCATAGTTACCAAAGTTACAACGAAAAATAACTTGCAAACGATCTTAACAGTTATAATGATATAATAACAATAATAATAATAATAATAATAATGTTATAATAATAATGGTGATTATTTTTAAAATTCAGTCGATCAGAATTGGCGACGACATGGATGGTGACGCAGGTGGGGGTGATGATGATGATGATGGTGACGACGTGATGATGAGTAACTTATCTGACGATATCAGTTCTCTACAGGTAGGTCCCTACAGCATATTTACACTATCAAACATGATAACGATGATTATGGGGTTTCTCTTTTTTTGATTTCGTTAAACTCTGAAGTACCAAGAACATATTTTACACATACTAGCCCCTCTTCTTAATCTTCCACTAATTATTTCACACCTATAATGATAATGTGTTTTATTATGAAATAAATACAAAGAGGCTGCTGAGGGCCTTGGAAGAGGAGGAAGTGATGTGGCCCGTCAGGAACAGAGATGCTACTGCTCGTGAACTTGTGGAAAAATTAATTGCCGGTAGGTAGTTTGTTCTGTTAATTTGTTCGTTCGTTCGTTCGTCCATTTGTTCATTCGTATGTTCGTTTAGTTATTTACACGTTCATTTGTCTATTTGCTAGTTTTATTATTTTTCATCTGTTATTCGTTCATTCTTTTTTTAAAATTTGTAGTTCATTCGTTCATTTATTTCTTGCAGTCATTCCTTTTTCGTTTATATTTTCTTTCATTCATTCATTCATTCATTCTTCTCTTCATTCATTCGTTCATTCTTCTCTTCATTCATTCGTTCATTTATATCTTCACCTCACTAATTGTTATTTTTATTATCAAAATTTTTCCAAACAAGTAATGTTATTAATGTTACTGTTGTTGTTGTTGTATTGCTGTCGTCATTTCAACTTCAAGAAGGCAGTAACAGCTACAGCAGCCAGCAACAACAACCACAACAACCACCAACATCATCTGACAACAACAGCAACATTGAAACACAACAACAGCACCAGCAGAAATCCTGCAAAAGTTTTTCATTGCTCAAAAGATTCAACATGGATTTTACTGACCAACTTTGGGATGTCATGAGAGGTACGAACGTACTTAAACGAACAAACACAAATACATACACACATAAACAAATACACACATAAACATACACATACACACATATACACACATGCTTAAACATATGTGCTCACACTCACATGTATATGTATACACACATACATAACATCCATAATATACATACAATCGCGCACATACACATATATTTATACATGCACCAACACAAATATATATCTATATACATACACACACACACACACACACACACACACACACACACACACATGCATAAACAAGAATGAAAATGCATACATATAATACAGATTGTTCTTCATACAGCGAACTGCTTTCCTGTTTCCAATGCATTTTCCACGCTCTTCTCTCCAAGCAACTCCAACCTATGGTCAGTTCACCATGACGAATGTAATTATTTTCATGATTATGATGATGATGGTGGTGGTCTTGCTAACGGTGATGATGATATTGTTGGAGAAGATTATCAGTTTTTTCGTTTTATTATCTGAGTTATTTTTTAAATAATTCTATTTTGCGATTGCATGCACTTGAACATACGCACACCTAACTTATCTACTCTCCTACACTACACAAACAAACACGCGCACACACACACACACACACACACATACATACACATACAAACACACACACACACACACACACATACAAACACACACACATACACATACAAACACACACGCTCACACATACAAACACATACACTCGCAAATAGTTGAGCAACACAAACAGATGCACGCTGGCAGATCTGATCAGGCAGTCATACAATGGGGACGTGAGGAGGGATGTGATATTGTGGTCGAAGGAGGAGAAGCCGATCATTCTGCTGGCCGAGATGGGTTTGGAGAAGTTGAAGAGGGATCTGCTGAGTGCTTTCATCGGTGAGGATGATGATGATGATAATGAAATGTTGATGAGGAAGATGATGAGGAGGAGGAGGAAGATGATGACGAGACTGTGGTTCTAATGATGTCTTGATAATAATGATGAAGGTGTGGATGTGATGGTAATGGTAGCGGTGCTAATTATGATAATGATGCTATCCAGGAAGCAACATGGTGAACATCAGCCAGTTAGCTTGGTACCTCTGTGAGTTGGAAACAGTTGGATTGAATGAAAAACTGGAAAAGTTGAAAAGGTCATTTGGCGTGTCATTCAGTTGTTGTTAATTCACTTCAGAGCAATTTTATTAAACTTTTGTGTTGATTTGTTTTTTTCAAAGTATATTTTAAAAATCAGTTTCTCACTTTTTTGCCTTTTCTTGCCTTTTATGTTTATTTGAGAATAATTTTTTTCAAACTAATTCAATTACAACAAACAAATCAACATTGAAGTAATTTAAACCTCAACAATCCAGGCTTGCCCATGTCCTTAGAATGAATGTTCTCATGGGTAAAAAATCTCTAGTGCCTAAGGCTGCACTATTTGAAATATTAAAGTATGTCTTTATAAAACTTTGTGGGTTTGTATGTGTTTTGTGCGTGCAAGTTGACGCTGATATTACTAAACTATTTACTGGAAATATTAACGGGTTAACTATCGTTTAATAATAATTTAAAAGTAAAAGTTTGAAGCACTATGAAGAAGTTGGTGATCTGGTAAATCCATTTCAAATGCAGATGTCAGTCCTCTCAATATATGATAAAATTAAAAAGTAATTTTACTTTATCTATTTGGTTATATTATATTATAATTTAATTTTTTGTTTAATTCCTATTTCCATCACACTTTCTAATTGGTTTGTATAAGTAGTGTGGCGCTTCATTGTAAAACGTAATGTGACCTTTCGCGTTAACTCTGTTAGGCATCTTGGCTCAACGGCTAAGGCGCCTGGCACTGGTGTTGCAGTTACCGTGTTCAAATGCAATGTCTGACGCTATGATACAATTACATTTACGTGCACTGTGTATTTGTTGTTGATACCTTTGAGAAATGCTACAGAGAGAATAAAAATAGGACAAATATGACATATAACATTACAGGTTGTCACCAACGTCATGGTCGTGCTTTGTTTATGGGACCACAAGTTTCCAACAGGAGATTGTTGGCTGTGTTTCATTTTCCAAAAGACAATCGTTTGATCACGTCAAATCTGATGAAATTCTAGGTTGGAGATCTTTCTATGTCGTGAGGGTTTTTATTCACGATTGATTTTTATAACTTTATGTCTATATGAATGAAATTTATTTATTAAAACGGTTCTAATTTAATATTTATTTACTTAAATTTGATCAGATTCAGACGATAAAAGTGACAAACGGAGTTACTATTTGACAACTGTTCATCAGTCAATTAACAATTATTGAATCTGTGTCTGTAACAATTACAATCTTCGTTTAGCGTTTGAACGTTTTGTATGTAGCAATGTAACAATTATCTCTTGTTTTTATCTAACTGTTGGATAATTTGTTTTAACGTTTCAAAAATTAATCCATTAAAATTGTTTGAACTCGTGATAGAAGAGACACGTCTGTATTTAAAAAAAGCTGTTAGAAAAATTACCCATTAAAAATTGTTTGAGCTTTTGATAGAAGAGGCACGTCTTCAATTTATTTTTAGATTTGTCCTTCAATGAATAAACTTAAAGTTGTTGCAATTTTTAAATACTCTATTATACTTGACGTTTTTCAGCGTATTTGAAATGCACAAAATTGAAATAAAATGCAATGATCACCACAAATGTATATGGCGCCATTCAGCTTGACTATCATATAAATTAATTACATAATTCGAATTGTATAAATTTATTATAATATAGATATTAATATTTAATTATATTATCTAACAAAGCTTATTGGCTTGCGATAGTTTTTACGTACTGTCTTCAGGTGCAACCAAGCTATTAGGTTCCATTCCCGTGTTCACTGACGTCAATTTTTTTTGGATATTTTTGCAAATTGATAGTCAAATTTTCTCTTTTAGAGGTTAGATTTTATTAAATTATAATGTTTTAATATGATTTTTCATTTTTTTTTTTAGTTTCTTTTTCCTATTTAATCAACTGGCCCTAAAATTAATTTAATGTTCTTGTTCTGGTTTATTTTTTTTTAAATTTTTTTTTATTTCCCTTGTCATTTTTTTTTCAAGAATTTTTTTAAATGTAATGTGGATTATAAATTGTTTCCAAATATTTATAAATTTTTTCGTTTCTTTTTTTTCATTGATTGTTCCAAAATTATTTCAAAAACTGAATGCCAGATATAATTTTTTTATATTTATTTTAAATTTATTTTTTTTATGATTATACTAAAATTGTTGCATAACTTTTCATTTTTTCTTTCTTTTTGACTTTACACTTTATTCTACACATCCTGATTTGATTGCCATTGTTAATCATTAGTCACAAAATTGGAATAATTTATATGCTTTTGGTTTATTAAATTTTAATTAAAAATTAATATTAAATTAGAAATTCAAGGATTTTTTAAAGGCATTTTAACTTTTTATTACAAATCGATAGATTTTTAATCAATAGATTTTTAATCAATAATGGTATAATCAATGATACAAGATGTCAAGACAGTGATAATGTTTTAATTACAAAGCTCTTATATAATTGATTGTATTTACTATTAATTAATTATTAGGATATTTTTAAAATTTTTCCATTATAAAGACAAATCATTTAAAAAAACTAATAAAAATATATCATTCAATCAAGATAAAATAATAATTATAAATAATTATTAGTAATTATTATTTTTTTATTTGTTTCATCTGCTCACTAAGAGCAGAAGTTATCAGTTGTTAATAATGAGCTAATCCTAAGACATGGCTATTGTTTGGCTGAGCCATTTGTAATGTGATTGAATTGTTGGCTATTAATTATTAATACAAATATAAATAAATAAATGAATGTATGTGTATATATATATTTATATAATTGAATATATAATAAAATTAAATACCAAACCATTACTGCCTTACTCTTTTAGGTAGATTGACAAATTATTTATAAAACTTGCTCATCAATGTCTTTTTAGTGTATGTATGTATATATTATTATTATTATCATTAAAATTTATGAAGCACTTATTAAAAATAATAGTGTTAATTTTTCAAAAGCGCTATCCTATAATTAACAGAAATAGCTGAAAAAGTAGATAAAATAAACCACAAATAAATCAGTTCACAGTTATTGATTAAATAAATGAGTCTTCAAATTCTTCCTAAAGTTTTCAATTCCTGAATTGCACACCCTCAACGACCGTGGCAAACCATTCCATACAACCGCCCCCGACACTGCAATATTTCTTGCTCCTATCTGCAAACGAAAAACAGGCACAACCATCAAATTATCATCATCAGATCTTAGACTTGTGCCAATATGCAAATGTAATCTCTTCTTATTGAACTTGCATGTCAAATATTCTGGCGTAAATCCATTTAAAACCTTGTACATTACCATACAGATTTTATATATTATCCTTTTATTGACAGTTAGCCAATGTAGGTTCCTCAAAATTGGCGTAACGCGATCAAATTTAGCGCCACCTGCAACAATTTTAGCAGCTCTATTCTGGATGGACTGAAGCATCATAATCGATCTGTTCGGTAAACCATAAAACAAGCTATTGCAATAGTCCAAACGTGAATGGACGAACGTGTGCATTAATGACTGTAATGTTGATTTGTTCAATGATTTTTTAACTCGATTCAATCTTTGCAGTTGGAATGAACATGTCTTCACAATTATTTTTATATGATCATTCATAGTTAGTTTGGTGTCAAAAATACACCCCAAATTTGTAGCCCTATGGCAAAACTGAACATTTTCATTTTGTATTATAACTGAATTAATACCAACCCTTGATAACTGCTGCCAGGTGCCTATAGGAAGAAACTGGGACTTGCACTGATTTAACTTCAGATAATTACACGACATCCAAACATCCAATTTATTCAAACATTCAGTAAGCTTGTTAATTTCAAAATGGAAGGTATCAGGTTTACTACTTAAAATTATCTGAATATCATCTGCGAAAGCATGGTATTTAAAACCAAATGACTCGATAACTCCATAGAGATCAGCTGTATATAATAAGAACAAAATAGGTCCAAGCACAGAACCCTGTGGTACACCGGAGGAGACCAGTTTTATATTTGATAAATTATTTTTATAAGAGACTTGTTCTGTTCTTCCAGAAAGATAAGACTTAAACCAATCAATCACCGTGCCCGAAATCCCAAAATCGTTGTTCATTCTCTCCAACAGAATACCATGATCTACACAATCAAATGCCGCAGACATATCTAAAAACGTCAACAGAGAAACATTTTGCTCATCAATAGCAGCATATATTTCTGATAAAATATATAACAAAGCAGTTTTCGTAGAATGGTAACGTCTATATCCAGACTGGCAGAGAGGAATCAATTTATATTCATCTAAGTGTTTTAACAAACTTTGCAACGACGCATTGGATGACTTTCGACACAAAACACAAGTTTGAAACTAGTCGGTCATTCCTTAGATCACTCCTATCTGCATTATTTTTTTTCAAAATTGGGAGAACAATTGCATGCTTACAATATATGTGTGTGTGTATATATATGTATATGCATAGATATAACCCATGAAAAAACTTTTTATTGTCATGCTTGCTTATGCTATTGTTCACTTGAAATACACAGTATATAAATATTAGTTACTACTTTAGAGATCATAACTCAGGTGCAAAATTGCTTACCGGTTTTATTAAATTGAAGTATTGATTTTGAATTTTTCTTAGGTGTTCAAAATTAATAAGTGACATAGATAAATAATTAATTAATTTGTAATGTAGCGATATACAATACAGAGTTTGAAGTTGAAATGATAATGCTATGTTATAATATTAGATATCCTTTTATCAGGTTTTTGTTGTATCAAGATACAAGTGTATATATGCATAATAGTAATTTTATATATTAAAATTTATGAACATTTTTTTTATGATAGTTTTTTTGTTTATATTTTTGTATATTTTAATGTTACAAAAGTGTTTGGTGGTTTGTATATTTTAATTACTACTTTGCTTTATTAATCAGAAAATGTTAAATGTGTAATTGGATATTTGGGCCTAATGTAATTCCATAAAAGGTTTTTGGATATTTTTTTTTCTATACCAACAGAACATAAATCTCAATTTTATTTTGTTGTCTTGCTTTCAATCTATTTCATTTTTAAAAATTATCTCTTTCCAATTTCCTTTAAGTTAATTGGTTTGCTGTAACATTTTTGTGTGTACTCCTTCCATATTTCCAGTTTTGTCTCTCTCTTTCTCCTCTCTCTCTCTCTTTCTCTTCTCTCATTCTCTGGTGTGTGTGTGCGTTTCTAGTTCTACACTTTGGAATGTATGTTTATGAGTGTTTGTGTATGTGTGCGTGTGTTTCTATGTGTGTGGTTTAGTGTTGTTTATGGTTTGTTTGTTTGTTTATACTTGAGTGTTTATTTTGTTTTCACTTTTACTTTTCCATTATCAGTACTTTTCTTGTTTGGAAAAGCATTAGTGTAAGAATGTTTTCAAGTTCATTTCTGTATTACTTATGTTTTAGAATAATTTAAGTCTGTGATTTACTAGTTTAACGTGTGTATGTGTGCGTGAGTGTGTATGCGCGTTCGTGCGTGTGAATGAATTATTTATATGTGTATATTTTATCCATGTTTTTTGTGTGTGTTTATGTATGAAGATGCTTATGCTTATTTGTGTATATGAATGTGTCTATGTTTCTGTGTGTTTATGTGTACTATGTGTGTTGTGTGTGTTGTGTATATATGTATGTAAGCATGTGGCCCAGGCAAATGTACATTGCATTTGACTCAGTAAGGATTACTGATAGATCCAAGGCTTGATAATAAGCCACACATCAACTTAAGATCTAAATCTTGCTTGGTCCTCTTTGCCACTTTTTCAAATTTAAACTTGCACATAACTCAGATTTTAAAGTTTTTTCAGTTTTTTATACATTATGATCTTTGATAAAACTAAATCTCAGTTACAAACACACAGTGTGTATCTATATGTGAGTGTTTATCTATGTGTGAACAAGATTAATCATGTATTGCAGTGTATCATTCTTTTAAAACTTGTTAAAATTCACATAGGAAGCCATAGAAAAGAGATGAAATATTTGCCTCAAACAAACAAACATTTTATTTATAAACACATGTAAAATGTTAAAAGGAGAGAGAGAGAGAGAGAGAGAGAGAGAGAGTATGTGATGGGAGAGAAAGAGTGAGAAAAGATAGAAAAAAGAAAGAGTAAATAAAGAAGAATATGATATTACTACTATATACTAATTTATTTTGCTCCTTCACAATGTTTATGATATTCTGTTTGAAGTTTGGCTATTTGTATTTGCATGAACATTTAGGATATATCTTTAGTCTGCACATCTCTTATTAAGTGATTTGGAAAAAGTTGAAAATCACAAATGATTGAACTAGCTGAACCCAAAGTTGTCACAAGCACAAACAAACATACTATGGGAACATATTCATACAAGTTTATATGCC